GTTCTACAATATATTTTATATATTAATATATAGTATATTTACTTTAGTATATATTCAAATTGAAACAACTAAATATCTTCTTTGCGTTGTAGTAATTATTGGTTTAGACTTCGTGATATCATGTGTGGCATGCGTGTCGTAGGTTTCCCCCTCCCCTTGATGTAGATAATATGAATATGACAGGTCTGCAAATTTGAGATTGTGAGGAAAGCGATTGTAGGGTAGAAAATACGTTATCGTTTAACGAAGTTGCGTAAATGACTTTGGATTGTATCAAGGCTGTAATTTGAAGATTGTGTAGCCGCAGCTCAGTTATTACGGGAAACTATTTTTGCCTAACCTTGTATTAAATGTTTGGGTAATATATATATGTATCGGCAGTAAATGCTGCAACAGGATACGATTTTTTAAATCAATACACCCCAAGCAAAGTGATAAAGCAACTAAGACGAAAGGAGAAACTGTGAATGAAGAAGAATGAAAATTATTTAAAAGGAACCGGATCTTCCTTCTAAACTTGAAATGAGGGATAAACCTCTACACCTGTTCAAAAGATCTAGGTGATTCCGGGTATGAGAAGGAAGTTGTTGTTAGCGAAGAATTTTAACGTTTTGTCCCATCTAATTTAATTTGTCTATTTATATGTTTGCAAACATCAAGTCAGTGACAACATGTAAAGTATATAATATGAATTTTAAACTATTAATAGCAAAACAAAAACATTAGTATTGTATATTTACGCCGAAGGGAATCGAAAATTGTCTATAATAGGAAAGAAAATATCAAAGTTTTTACCCGAATCCTGTAATGTCTTCCTTCCTACACACAAACCCCTAATTTCAAAGATCAGAAATAGTGGACAGTTTGAAAGCCACAAACTGGACAAAATAATGGTTGAAATGAAAAACAACATCTGGCACGTCGTGAGTATTAGCAAGACTCGCAGAAAAAAGAGAGAATCGCTTTAAGCTGAATGTAAGTAATCAGCTAGATAAGGAAAAAGGCGAATCACACGTTTAGTGGCGTAGGGATTTGAGCCAATAATCGAACAGTGGGCAACGAATTAAGATTCGGCAGTACATCAGAAAACAAAGCCGGAAGAAGAATTATGGTATGCAAAATTTGCTCTAAAAGTAATCCACGTGTATGCACGAATGTCAAAAGCATACGATAATAGTATAACTGTAATAATTCGATTGCACAATGATACAGAAAACGGAAAGATTGGAAAGTCTATGTGACAAGGGAATATGATTTCGCCTAAATTATTTAGAGCCAACCGTTAAAGTATCTTATTTAAAAGAAAGATAAAAGAAATGGAAATAAACACAGAAGGAGAATATTTGAACTAATCGATGATTTGATGACATTGTATTAGGATGAAATGATGCATTTTTTGGTTGGTTGTTCATCCGGTCGTCTAATGAAGTAACCTCCTTAGAATATAAGAAAACCATTACTCATTCCTCACTCTTTTTCTATACAGATAATTTCCCTTTCAAGATATTGTTAATCATAAACCCAATGAAAATGATTACAACGAAACAATGTCAAGTAATTGTACTGTATGAGTATGTCGGAGTTAGCTCCTCCTTAATTCCCTAATCGTTCACCAGGGGTCGCTCTCCCTACACTATAAATACTGGGCGACTTTTTGCCTTGTTCATTTTTCACTTTGCATTTCAGCGGATACATCCACGTTTTCGCCCACTTGTGGGAAAACGCCATGAAACACACACACACGTACGTACGAACATTCACCAATATACAAACTCTTTACGTTCACACACAAACACAAATGTTGATGTCTTTGTCACTTGTAAATTTTGTCGTTTAATACATATATTTGTTGATATATATATATATATATATATATATATATATATATATATATATCAGTCTAGTTTGTTTTCTTTAAATCTTCGGTTGGACTCAACTTGAGTCCGCCATATTCTTTTAATTGGACCTTCTAGCAGGAATAAACACACGTGTTCCTAATTCAACAACACTCAAACCTACACAGTTCTCTACAAGTACAAACTGGGAAAATGAATAATTTTTCCATCGAATCATTACATGCGATGAGAAATGGATACTCTTTAACAACAGTAAGAGAGTAAGCCATTGTTGCTATTTTTTGTTTACTCATTCCAGGGAATTCTCAGTATCCTTCTGTAGAACGATATTTCTGTTGCTTCTAGTTTCTCTTCATCTGCAAGGGGGAGATTGTCTGATTCACTGATATATAGGAGGATTGACATTACATAACAGTTCACCACTCTTTTCTTTGTTGCTAACAAATTTTTCCTCTTTCTTAATACTTTACTTAGCTTTTACAAGGCTTCTTTTGTTATGCAAAGGCACATTCGGCTTTCGATACCACATTTTCCATCCTCTGTTAAAACACTTTGCAGATATTTAAGCTTCTCTACTTGTTTAATTTTGACATCTTCTATTCATAGTTCATGTCTCTTGCAGTTGAAAAGAATTGTATAAAATAATTAATAGTAGCCACTAATGGTGGCAAAATTAAGACATAGAAGATGTATGTGTGTACACTTGAATGGAGTGTCACTGTGCAGTTTCTATTAAAGTTAGACAAGACACATTGGAAAAAGACATTTCTTCAGATGTATGGCCTTATCATGTCTGAAGAACACTTGAATAGCCAGATTGTTAAACTGTCTGACACACTCCATGCATAAACACACACAATCATGCAACCACGCAAATATACACACACAAATAAACACACATATACAAATACACACTCTTGTTGAACAACTGAATGACAAGATTTTAAAAAATTGTATGTAACGTATTTCATCTGAAATGACTTCATCAGATTAAAAAAAATAAAAGTATTTATTTGTTACGGAAGAGGTAAAATATAAAAATTGATTGAACGAGTCTTACTGTATGGATCAGAAACTTGGACATTATCCGTTTATCTTGACAGATGACTGGAGGGAACATATACAAATCTGCTTAGAAAAATCCAGAACATCAGTTGGAGATCCTATGCAATGCTTAACACAATTTATGGAGAACTGAGACCAATATCTCTTAAGCTCAAACAAAAACGATTCCAATTTGCCTAACACCAGGGAAATTGTCTCATCTTTACTCCTATAGCATCCTTCTGGAAGTGTCTTCTCACAAAAATTGGCTTTTATGGACACCATAACTCAGGAGTCAGGGTTGGATATTGGGGATCTGTGGACAGCAATGCAGGACCGAACTGTATGGAAAAGAAATTGTCAATGAAGTTCCGACCAACGATAGTGTTGTATAAGGATAAAGTGTCATTGTCGACATTGGAGTTTGAATACAGATCACCGGAGAGCAAAAACAGGTGTGTCCCATTTTGAATAAGTAGATCATGTGATGGTAAAGGAAAAGTAGATATGGGAATTAGCATGACGTCTAATTGGTCACTATTTCTACACTATCCTCTATTACTATACGGATCGCTATTCTCTATATTATTCACTACACTATTTCTCTCTACTGATCAATATACGGATTACTATAACAGATCCCTATTCGGTGGTTACTATTTGAGCAAGTATTATCAATCAAGTACTATTAGTATGAGTGTTATCTGAAGGCGTCTGACACCAGTATTGTTCAACGGCGTTACTATAGTTGTGTCTGAGATTACAAAGTCTCTACTACAACGAGCATTACGAAAGAGACAACGAGTATGCGTTGACATCACAAAAGGGGCAACGAGCGTTTGTTGACATCACAAAACATAGGGAGGTCGAAGGATGATGATGATAAGGATGATGATGATGATGAGGAGGAGGATAAGGATGATGATGATGATGAGGAGGAGGAGGATGAGGAGGATGAAGATGATAATGATGATGAGGATGATGATGATAATGATGATGAGGATGATGATGTGGAGGAGGAGGATGATGAGGAGGATGAGGATGATGATGATGATGATGAGAATGAGGATGAGGAGGATGAGGAGGAGGAGGAGGAGGAGGAGGACGATGAGGAGGAGGAGGATGAAGATGATAATGATGATGAGGATGATGATGATAAGGATGTGGAGGAGGAGTATGATGTGGAGGAGGAGTATGATGTGGAGGAGGAGTATGATGAGGAGGATGAGGATGATGATAATGATGATGATGAGAATGAGGATGAGGAGGGAGAGGATGATGATGAGGAGGATGAAGATGATGATAATGATGGTGATGAGGAGGAGGAGGATGATGATAAGGCTGATGATGATGATGAGGAGGAGGAAGAGATGGAGGATGATGATGATGATAACGATGATGATGATGATGATATAAACAAAAAAAAACTGAAATGCTAAATATATAGGAACACTAGATTTTAATTGCAATTTCTGGCATTTGACATGTCTAGACAAACTACTTTCCTAATGCTTTTCTTTTTTTCACCTTTATTCTTAAATCTTCTCCCTCACACATACACACACATAATCACATACAAATAGGTAGACAAACGCTCACAAACACAAAATCATAAATACATACATAAACATGAACACACAAACATACACATGTCACATACACCTGTAAATATCTACAGACTTATTTGACATTCACAGAAATTAAGGTTCTTTCTAGTCTACCATAATTAATTCACCTTGATTGTAAACAAGTCAAACCTCAACATGGTTAATAAGAAATTTATTCACATTGGCAAATTATGAAGAGGAAAAGAGACACACAAAAAAAAATGAAAAAAAGAGATGCTAAGCGTTTCCATGATTAATTTTATTTCTTTATATGATCGACTGATTCATTTTCTACAGCCAAATATATTTAGATTGCAAGAAATCTGTTTTTTTTAGATAATAATAGTTTAGTGATACAAGTCTTACTAATTAACCCATATTTATGGGAGAAAAGGTGGATTCCTACCTTTTCTAAGGCTATTTGTGCATAACTGAATATAACAGACCCAAACAGTTCTAAACCATTATCCATTACACCACCTGCAAATCCAAGCTTACACCACATAGTATTCCCAGGTAGTCACCCATCTAGGTAGTGACCGGCACAATGTTGCTTAACTTTGGTGATTGTACAGAAACCAGTGTTTCAAAATGATGTGGTCTTAATCCTTGTAGTCTTTAGTTGTTCTAAATAATTTATTACACTTTACCATCCCATTGTGTCCTTGTTCTGCTATAAAACGACAAATGCCATATGTGATACATTTGGTGATCATGTCTCTCGATTGATAACAGACTACCGTTTCTTTCTGTCGGAGACTAATTGCCAACCAAGGCTTTAGAGACCAGCTTGTACTGCTATTCCATCCATAGTTGTAGGAGATGAGATGGATGGGTCCACAGATTTCTCAAGGCTATTTGAACATGTTAATTTGAACATGTTAATTTGAACATGTTAATTTAACTAGCTTGACTGAAATTCAAAATTCTTAAAGTTTTTATTTTTTATTTAATTTTTTTATTTTAAGGTATTTTGAGGTTTTTGTAAATTTTAATGTTTTTATAAAAAAATTAATTTCTGTTTTAATAAAATTCATGCACAACTACTTTTTGAGACACTATTTACATTATTTGGACTAATGTCCTCATCTTTGTCACCATATATATATATCAACATTTCCGGCCTTCTTCAGGTGGTTGGAATGTCGAACTGAAACCCTTTATTTCATTCATTGGTGTAAACTGTTCTAGTTCCACATGCCAGGCTTAATAAATGTCAGTTATCAGTTATCTCCTGTTAATTCACCTCTCCAAGTTCTCCACTGCCTTAACCAGGTATTGTCCTCATGGACACATGGCACAGTGGATAAAGGAATTGGTTAGATCCAGAGACAGGACCCAAAGAGTGTGAGTTCAATACCAAGGCAGTGGAGAACTTGGAGAGGGTAATTAACACAAGATAACTGATATCTGACATCCATTAAACATGGCACGTGGAACTAGAACAGTCTACCCCATTGAGCGAAATAATGGGCTCAGTTCAACATTTCAACCACCTGAAGAAGGCCGGAAATGTAATAAATATGGCGACAAAGATGAGGACAATAGTCCGAATAATGTAAATGGTATACATAATACCTCATCTCAGAAATATAGACAGATACTTTTTGAGAAAAATTAAATAAAATTAGTGTGAAAGTAAGAAGACAATAGCATAAAACACTTAAAACATATTTTGACATTTTTAAAATTTAATTTTTAAAATTTTTATTGAAATTGTTTATTTAATATGTAATTAATTTTTAATATATTTTGAAGTATTTTCAATTTTGATTTTTTATTAAAATCTAAAGTTTTATTTAACATTTTAAAATTTTAAAAATTTTGAGAAAAAATATAGATTCTGTCTAAAGTAACAAAACATAGCCATAAAAATATTTAATTTTTCCAAACTTATTTAATTTTTAATGAATTTTTGAGATAATTTTATTGATTTTAGTTATTTAAACTTTTATTTAATTTTTTAAATTAAATTTAAAAATGTTCAACCTCAACTCTTTTTTGAGAATAACTGTAGAATCATTGCTTAAGCAAAAAGAGACGGGGCAATAAAAAACTTGAAATTCCTTCACTTCAACTTTTTAAGCATTTCCCTGTGGGAGGATATGTCAATTGGTTTCACCATCAGAAGCAGAATAGTATAGATTATTTTTTTGCTAAAGCAAAACCAAATACTCAAAAAATAAATATCTAATATGCAGCAATGTGGTAGAAAGTTTTCCCATAAATTAAATGTGGTTTCAATTTTACGAAGGAAGCTTTAACTATAAAATATCAACAGAAGAAAACACAGTGAACAGTTTCAACAGTGATTTTCTTCCTGAAATTAAACCATTTTATGGAGGGGTTAAATGCCCAAAGGACACATTAGGAAGAAGACAAGGAAAGTAGCAAGCAACCTAGGTGAGAAAGTTGAAAAAAATAGATGGAAGATAAAAAAGCACAAAGAAAAAGGTGTTATAAAGAAGCCATTATTGCTGAGAGAAACAAAATGGCTGATCGAAGGAAAAGGGTAGTCAACAACAGAAGTATGGTTAATTATAGATATATATATATATATATATATATATATATATATATATATATATAAATATGCATATATATATATATATATATATATGTAAATATGTATATATATATAGATATTTACATATATATATATATATATATATATATATATATATATATATATGTATGTAAATATATATATATATATGTAAATATGCATATATATATATATATATATATATATATATATATATATAGAGAGAGAGAGAGAGAGAGAGAGAGAGTTCACCAATTGACCATTATGGAGAAAAGGTAGTTTTTAGCAGCTAATATTCTTTAATGCATCACCTTTTTGTAAGAATTAAGTACTATGTCAGTTGGTATGACGTTTATATAGCACATGCATAATGCATTAAAAAATTCCCTTTCTCTGCTGTGTGCTGATAGACTAAGGGTAAGTGTCTCTGCCAGATGTAAAATTGGTCAAGTTTCAATCCTGGCTTGAAGGTATTGGGTGTCTAGCCACACTGATGATCTGTGATACAGAAAAACATGGTGTCTGTGGTTGACTATATAATAATAATAATAATAATAACAATAATAATAATAATGGACACTCACATTGGTTTTCATGTATGAAGATCTGACAACTTAATTGATTCAGTTATGAAATTTTGTGTGATAATCTCAAGTGGCAGTTGAGACCCACCAGTGATTTACAAAGGAGCCCGCATATGGAGCAAGAGTAAGGATTGTGGGATGAGATCACTGTTAGATTGGCTGACCTTTTAGATCTTGCTCTCACTTCTTGAAGATGATTCAGACAAGCTGACTGAAGACTACTGAGTCCACTAAAACACATTGATCTCCATTCTACTCACTCCAAGGGTGTTATGAGGTATATTGACAGCTAACAAGTGGTTGACTATATATATATATATATATATATATATATATATATATATATATATCAATTTTTCTTGGTAAAATTTCCAGTCTTCAGAAAAAATGATGTTGGGATAAAATTGATATTTAAAATTAAGTAATCTTTTCATATAAAAGACAGGTGCAAGACAATGAAATCATGCACAATTAATGGAATGAAAAAAGGTAGACAACAACAAAAGTATAGTGAATTAGGGGATTCTTAATGTCATAGGGAGGTATGGTGGATTAATGAGTAGCAGCTTGGATTGACGAATTGAAGAGCTGAGTTTGAATTCCAGTCAAATCCATTACACTCACTCACGTGCTTGGGAAAGGTATGAATCCACTTCTTCTTGCCCCACCTATGGGTTAATAGCAGGACAGACTGGGTTCTATAGCCTTGGATAGCAACTGGTCTAGGAAAAGAACAACTCTGAATTTAAAATCTACGGAGGGCCATTTGGGAACCTTGTTGCACGTAGTGCAACAGGTCTCTGTCTTCGGCTTTTCCAAAAAGTGTGGTTGGTTCTAATCAAAGCTTACATAAAGTCATATGTCGGGGTGTCTGGCTGTCAGTTCCTAGGAACTGAATTGCTTGACACTCAAAAAAACGATGGTAGAATCCAGTATATATATGCACATATATATATATATATATATATATATATATATATATATATAACATTATAATAATTACATAATATACATAATATATATATATATATGTATTTGTTTTTTTGTTTTTTTAAGCGTTTCACCCCAAGCAAGGCAGAAAGCCACTAGGATGCAAGGGGTTACAGAAGATTTGGAGCAAGATCAGATAAGAGTAATAGAGGAAAGAATAAGGAGAAGGATAGTGGATAGATCAAGGCAACTGGAGATGTCAATTGACATTACATTTGTATAGTTGGAGATTATAGCTCTCAGGGAAACTGGAATAGGGAAGGCAGCTATTGGAGTAGAAGAGATGGCTACATTTAGTAGTTTCGACAGTGAAGGGGTGAGAGTGGGATGCCAGCCTCGTAGGGCGCTTGAATTCATGAAGTCTGGGAACCAGCGAATGCAGCTCCTTGGAGCAATTACCATGAAAGTATTTGTAAAAAAGACAAAGAGAGGGAACAGCGCACCTGTGAGAGAGCAACTGTAGATGAGATGCCAGAACAGGGCCAGTTATATTGCATATCCGCCTCTGGAGCTTATCAAGAACTCCAAGGCAAACAGAAGGGGCTCCAGACCATATATGGCAGCAATACTCTATATATATATATATATATATATATATATATATAATAATAGTTATATATATATATATATATATATATAATAATGTCATTATAATTATGTCATATATATTTATATATATATGTTATATTTATTTTAGGATATTACATCGAAAAAATGTCAAAATTGCTACACAATTGTAGTCATGTTTCGATGCATCTCATCAGGTGATTGAAAATTACTAATATTGCTTTACTTCATATTGAGGCTCTTTGAAATTAAATGTTACGAATATTGAAATTATATCTATTTGTACTCATCTCACCTGGATATATATATATATATATATATATATATATATATGTAGAAGAGATGGATTCATACCTTTCTCAAGGGTATTAGCACAAGGGAATGTAATGAACTCAAATGAAATTTGAACTCATTTCTCTGACTGCTCAATCTGAGTAGCTCTCCATTACTCCAGTGGGCCACCATATATATATATATATATTATAAATTTACTAATTTCAAAATATGGTTCCATCACTACACCGGAATTACCTGTATAATAATATCTTTCTAATTTATCTGACTGCTCAATCTGAGTTGCTATCCATTACTCCAGTGGGCCGCCACATATATATATATATATATATTATAAATTTACTAATTTCAAAATATGGTCCCATCACTACACAGGAATTACCTGTATAATAATTTCATTTATTTTAAAATCGGTAAAATTAGAAAGAGATTATGTAAAAAATTTAAATGCCTGAACTTAAAAATTACCGTAAGCACTAAATTGAAAAAGGTGATCTTACTTATTAGTGTTAATGAAAACTGTATACATACCTTATAAAAAAAAACAATACTAATCCTTTGTATATACACCATAAATCTAATCATCCTCCATCTATAATTAAGCATATACCTTTATCTATC